CGGAAAAAATGAATGTGATGGTGTTTTAAAAATTAAAAAGAAAGAAGAAACCTTATTTATATGTATACTTAATTTAAGCTAAATACTTTTTTGAATTCCGATTTAAAGGGATCTTAATTTAAGCAATTCTATTTTTCGTCATTTGATATGTTAAAACCTTAAGACTCGCTCATTTGTTTCTATAAAATATCCAATTTCAATAAAAAAGAAGATGAAATTCATTATAAAAATACATATATATCAATCTTGTCCGGAATATAATATATGACTTGTTTGGTTGATACCACAATCATTTTACCTTTTTTTATGATCGTAAAATTTTACTCTACATAAAAAAAGTAAATATTAACGCTAGAATCAGTGGGTCCTACCAAATTTATTTGCGCTAACATGACTACTAATCACAACCTTACTTTTCAGACTCTTATAAAAAAACAGTTTGAAAATGCGAAGATAAATTGATTTATATCAATTTTCTTGGAGCCATATCTTTCTCTCATTATATATAGCATCTGCTTTCCCGGACTTACACCTCTGCTAACATCTATACAATGCTCTTAACCACTTACGCAAAGTCAAGTCCATGACATGTCAAACACAAACTCAAATAGTGGACCAAAAGGAACAGAACCATTGACGAAGGCTCACTTGAATTGACCAATAGGCACTACTTGTTAAGTTGATTGATAAAAAAAGACCAGATAAACCATGTCTTACAGAAATTTTCCAAAGATAACAATCCAACCATTGACCAAGTTGAAGGTGGTGACACCCCCATTCCATTACCCAGCTCTATGAGAAGCTTCCCAGTCATGAACCTAAGCTTGTCTTAAGGTAGCAGTCCACATCATAGTTTTCAGTCTTTGTGAACACCACCAGCTATAACCATCTCTCATGTACCAAAACACAACCACATATATGTCACACATATATTATTATTGCCAACAATTCACACAAAGACGATGTTAACTTTTTGGTTTCCAAGAGCACAATGCCATAAGATACCATCAATTATAATCACTCACGTACACACACTGATTTGCAGCACAACACACCTACATCATGGAAGCCACATGCACATGTCAATTTTGGACTGCAATACGACCCCAACTCTTGGTAGCTAGACAATTTAGGGCCTGGCTAGTTTAAACACAACTGATGCGAATGCAGTTGTGGAAGTTTGCGGAAGCGGACAGTTGCATTTGAAGTGTTACTTTAGAACATGAGGATGTGTTTTTGAAAAAGGATCTAAGGTGGTTTATACATGCATTTGAAGTGTTACTTTAGAACACCGAGTCCTTTATTCTTAGGGCCCTAATGTTGAAAATGGGTTTTGCTCAACGATGGGTTGATTGGATCATTTGCTGCATCTCCTCGGTATCGTATAAAGTTCTTATAAATGGCTCTCCGAGAGGCATCATTAGACCATCCAGGGGCATTCGCCAAGGTGATCCTATCTCCCCTTTCCTGTTCATTTTATGTACAGAGGCATTGGTGTCAAAGCTTAAAGATGCAGAGTGGAATGGTCGTATTCAAGGCCTTCAAATTTCCCGCGCAAGTCCTTTCACCTCACATCTTCTGTTCGCCGATGATAGCTTGTTTTTCTGTAAAGCAGATCCGACGCAAGGTCGAGAAATTATTAATATACTCTGGACCTATGGCGAGGCTTCAGGACAGCAGCTAAACACTGCTAAATCCTCGGTAATGTTTGGCCATGATGTGGATAATACAACCCGAAATACCATTAAAGCGACAATCGGAATTCATCGAGATGGGGGTATGGGATCGTATCTGGGCCTTCCTGAACAGATTCATGGCTCAAAAGTTCAAGTCTTCTCCTTTGTCAGAGACCGGCTTCAAAAAATGCTCAATACCTGGTCCGCAAAGTTCTTGTCCAAAGGTGGCAAAGAAGTCCTCATAAAGTCTGTTGCGCAGGCTCTTCCGACATACGTAATGTCGTGCTTCCTACTTCCTAAAGCAATTCGCTCAAAATTAAGCAGTGCCATTGCAAACTTTTGGTGGAAAACCAACGAAAATAGCAATGGCATTCACTGGATAGCATGGGATAAACTTTGTACACCTTATTCTGAAGGTGGTCTCGGCTTTAGAACGCTTGAGGAATTTAATCTAGCCTTACTGGCTAAGCAATTATGGCGCCTTATCAGATTTCCTAACTCTCTTCTAAGTAGAGTCTTAAGAGGACGTTATTTCGCTATAGCGACCCTTTACACATAGGAAGCTCGAATCGGCCCTCGTATGTTTGGAGAAGCATAATGGCTGCCAAACCTCTCCTTGTCTCGGGTCTTCGGAGAACCATAGGCTCCGGAATGCTAACCAAAGTTTGGGAGGACCCGTGGATTCCCACTGTTCCTGCGAGAGCTGCTAAGAGTCTTCTTGACACTAAAGACCCTCTTCTCTATGTCAATGACCTTATTGATTAGTCAACAAAGCTTTGGAAGCTGGATCGCCTTCAAGCGTTGATTGACCCCGCTGATATTCCACTTATTTTAGGGATTCGTCCAAGTCGTACCTACTTGAGTGATGGTTATAGCTGGTCGCATACCAAATCCGGAAACTATTCTGTTAAATCAGGATACTGGGCCGCGCGAGAGTTATCTCGTCCTACCTGTGACCCCCCTTTTCAGGGACCTGGTGTTTCGGCACTTCAGGCACAGGTATGGAAGTTAAAAACTACGCGAAAGCTTATGCATTTCGCGTGGCAATGTGTTTCAGGCTGTCTAGCCACATTTCAGAGATTATCCTATCGCCATATTGGCAATGAGAAAGGATGCCCCCGTTGTGGGGGTCCTGAAGAATCTATAAACCATCTTCTCTTTGATTGTCCGTCTTCGAGGCAAATTTGGGCCTTATCACCCATTCCCACCTCAGGGTACATTTTCCCCAGAAGTTCCCTCTTCTATAATTTCGACTTTCTTTTCTGGCGTGGAAAAGAATTCGGAATAGGAGAGGACACTCTGGAACTCTTTCCATGGATATTATGGTATATCTGGAAAAGTCGAAACAGATTTTGCTTTGAAAACTTTAAAGAACCTCCTCAGGAAACTTTGGCTTTGGCCTTACAAGAAGCCTCTGTTTGGCAGAAAGCAAACATGAAAGAAGCGGCAGATCCCGAGCCTCTCGCCCACTCGGTTTTACCCCACTCGTTCCATCCCAGGATCTCGGAATGTCAGATTGATGCTTCCTGGCACTCGGAGGACTCCCTAAGTGGACATGGATGGGTTTTAGTCGACCAAGACCGTATTATCCAGCTTGGCTTAAAGAGTTCGAGACGAAGTCTCTCTCCGCTCCACGCGGAGGTTGATTCTTTGCTTTGGGCAATGGAATGTATGATCTCGCTAGGCTTTACTACTAGCGCCTTCGCATCCGATTGCTCGGACATGATATCTCTCCTAGACAACCAAGACGCTTGGCCAACCTTCGCAGCAGAAATGGCCTCTTTCCGGTCACTCGTTTGTTTTTTCCCTTCTTTTAGTATTAGATTTCTTCCTCGTAGTTGTAATACTCGAGCAGATTGTTTAGCCAAAAATGCTCGGGCTCGAAACTGTCTCTTTTCCCATGTAAGTTCGTCGGTTCCTGATTGGCTCTCCCTAGCGGAGAGTCTCTTTCCGATATCTTAATAGAAATGGAGTTTGGACGGAAAAAAAAAAAACATGCAGTAGCAATCCTTCTTGAATGGCCAAGGCTTCGAACGTTTACACATGAGATAAGTGATTTTCGTTTGCGACTGCGACTGTGACTACGACTGAAAGTTGTTCATTTGACAGTCGCCGATCCTGCGACTTGCGACTAAAAATTTCAATCACAGGAAAAAATAGCGATGCGATTTTTTATATGGCGAGTAGTCGCAATTGTTAAACGAACAACATCCCGCGATTTTAAAATTGCAGTCGCAATCGCAGCCGTAGTCGCAATTGTTGGCGATTATGAAACGAACATGACCATAAAGGACTCGGTGTTCTAAAAAGCGGCCTAGGCGGTCGCCCGCCTAGGCGCTAGGCGCTCAGGTGACGCCTAGACGACCGCTTCGGCCGCCTAAAATCGCATAAATTTAATTTTAATGTATTTTTTTAATTTTTAACTACATAAATTTAAAATATAAATTTTAGCTCTATATATATTGTTTTGATATGACTTAAATAATTTTTTTTTTGTCTAATTTTTGTTTCGATTTAGGATTTGTATTTTGATAATAGATAGTTTTATATAATTTTTATGTATAATATTATATTTATAATATGTTATGATGTAAACGCGTAAACCGCCTAAAACCGCCTAGACCCCGATTAGACGTTCTATGTGCTAGGCGTTGGGTCACCGCCCGCTTAGCGCCTAGCGTTTTCTTGAACACTCTTAAAGGAGAAAAGAATCCTACCAACTTTTTAAGTTTCAAAAACAACAATCCAACCAAACTACAAATCTTGTAAACTACACAAGCTTTATATGTTCGACATATATGATGTAATTTTAAATTATAGTACCAAAATAGAAAAACTCTTTATAATCAGTTGTCTACTACTATATATTAAAAGGGTAACTTTTATGAATAAAATCTTTAATATGCTATTCAAATTAGTTAAAGATGTTGGATTAATAAAGAACACAGTTGCTATTTAAAAATTAAATTACCTGAAGATACTACTCTGAAATTCATAATTTTGTTTTTTAATTTTATTTTCCTTCATTTTAAAAATTTAATACTTATTTATAGAATGTAAATTTGAAAAAATAAGAACTCGACCAATCAAACCGTAAAATCCATATGTCGAGAAAAGAAAAAGAAAACTTAAATCGGAGGGGCAAATCGGTCATTAAAAAATCTTAGAAGATTCTAATATCTCTAGTCAAGCGGCGAGCGTGACTGCAACCGTTCCTCCTCCTCCGTCGCTTTTTTTTTCCTCTTCCCCCAAAAAAAAAAAAACCAAAACCGCACGCGTGCTCTCCACGCGCTCCCACACTCTCCTCCTCTCTCCGATCATCGCATCGATTACCTTCTCCATCTCCGGTAACAATCATCTCCACCGTCTCCAAGCCCTAAAACAATTCCCCAGTGTCTCACTCTCAATCTCAAAATCCTAATTAGGGTTTGTCACTGAAACCGCCACCAGATTTGGCTCAATCGTAACATGTGATTGCTGTTACAAACCACGAACAAAAAAATGGTTGATAACAGTAACAATAAGAAGAGGAAAGAGTTCATCAGTGAAGCAGACATCGCCACTCTTTTGCAGAGGTTTTTGTTTCTTCGATTTCATCTCTCATAATTTGTGGCGGCGTGTGATTTTTACCTCGTTTTTGTTTGCAGATATGATACTATAACGATATTGAAGTTGCTACAAGAAATGGCGTATTATGCTGATACAAAGATGGATTGGAATGAGTTAGTGAAGAAGACAAGTACTGGAATTACTAATGCTAGAGAGTATCAGTTGTTATGGCGGCATCTTGCTTATAGAGATTCTCTAGTCCCTGTGGATAATAATGCTCGAGTTCTGGTTTGTTTTAATGTCTTATTGTTTGCATTAAGTTCAAAGAATTGTGCTTTCATTGCCATATACATTGATCTTGTTAGAAAATTCAATTTTGCATCAGAGTTTTTTCCAATTAGGGTATTGTTCTCAATATTGTTGTGTAGAGGGAAAGTTCTATTTGTTTTGATTTAATGCCGGTGGATAGTGAAACTTCTTGGGGATAGCTTTTAGGTCTAAGGTGGAATGAATTTATGCATCATGTGATAGCTGTTGCATTACAAGACGTAATTTTGCAAATTTTAATGAACTCTTGCTTGTGCAGGATGATGATAGTGATATGGAGTGTGAATTGGAAGCTTCCCCTGCAGTCGGTGTTGATGTAGTAACGGAAGCTGTTGCGCATGTGAAAGTAAGTGAGAAGGAATTCACTGAGAAGTTTTCTTAGATTCTTCTTTTTTCCTCTTGAAGTCTTTGTTCAGTTTCCAGAGAAGAGATGGTTCTCTATAGTTTTGCTTCATAAGTCCTTTTTCTCTGTGACAATCTCGGTTAGTGTATAGGCGATCCTTAAGTGGTGGCTACTACTCTTGGGTATTGATGTCTGCTTATCCCGAGTTCCTAATGATATGCTAAGTTTCCTGTTTTTTATCCTTTTTTAGGTGATGGCTGCTTCCTATGTGCCAAGTGAGTCCGATATTCCCGAAGACTCAATGGTTGAGGCTCCCTTGACCATTAACATACCTTACGGCCTGCATAGGGGGGCTCAGGAACCATCAGACTCGTATTGGTCATCAAGAGGGATGAATATCACCTTCCCTGTTTTTCTACCGAAAGCAGCTGAAGGACATAATGGAAATGGGTTAGCCAGTAGCTTGGCTCCTCGGAAGAGAAGAAAAAAATGGTCAGCTGAAGAGGATGAGGAGCTGATTGCTGCTGTGAAGCAACATGGTGAAGGCAGCTGGGCCCTTATCTCTAAGGAAGCATTTGAAGGAGAGCGAACAACCTCACAACTCTCACAGGTTTTAATTGCATTGGGCTGATATTCATTCTCATTTTCCTCATATCTTTGAATTTTCTTCAAGTACATTGTGCATCATCTCGTCTCAGCATAAGCGTTTGTATGTAGTTTATGCATTCTCTCCTATTTATTGCTCTGTGTGTCATATGCATGGTCTTTCTTAACCATCACGCAGAGAGCTATTTCGTAGTCACAGGATTATAGTAAAGGAATGTGAGCTCTAATTGCTCTACAAAAAAAAAACGAGTATGATCTAGGATTTGGAGTGTATAGCAACTAGGCATGAGGGGTGATGGTTTGCTCTGTTGTTAATATTGCAGTGCTTTCGTCATATTTTTCAGTTAGTGCCTTGTTCTTGGTATTACGACCTGCTTATCTACCATTATCTGAGTGTTTGCTTAGAAGAGATGAACCTTAGTAGACCCTCTGAAACATAACTTCATAAGCTCCTTATACTCTTAAGCTTTTACACCATATATGTCATACTTTGTCTAGATGCAACTAGGTGGCATTATCACACTCTTCTTTATCGAATGTTATCAACAGAATTGTGGTCATTGCTTTAGAAATATATCCGTTGTCATCTAGTTTGGTCTTGATGTGGGTTTTCCCCCATTTTTCCCGGGTTCAAATCCCGGCAACGGATCTCTAAATGTTATGATTAATAATCTCTTAGAAAACGTAGATTTCAGCTGCTGTAGGCAATAATCTTCTCTGTCCACCATTTTTGTGGATATTTTTTGGTCAGCTATTTCTGATGTTTCCAGGTACACTCTGTAAGTAGTGTTAAGAAAGATATCTGGGGACAACATTGTATGGGCATCTGTGATGCTTTTTATTTAGCATACATCTGTAATCGGGCTGAATTTTCTTATTTGCAGCGGTGGGGGGCTATAAGGAGAAGGACTGATACTTCAAACACTTCTACCCAAACTGGCCTACAGCGAACAGAAGCACAAATGGCTAATCGTGCAGTATCTTTAGCGGTGGGAAATCGGCTTCCCTCAAAAAAACTTGCAGTAGGTACGAGTAACAGAAGATCCTATCTAGCTTATTTTACTATTTATTTATTAGTTCTTCTAGGCTATGTTATACTTGTTTAGACTGTTTTTTTCTTGCAAAGTTAAAATTGTTTTAGTCCCAACGCTTATCTTAATTAGATTTATCAATTTGATTGTGTTTGTAGGTATAACTCCAATGCTTTCATCCGGTACCATCAAGGGGGCACAAGCCAATGGTGCCAACAGTGGTAGTACATTGCAACGTCAACAACTGTCTCAGCCACAAATTCAAGCATTGCCACGGGCAACAACATCAGCGTCAGGTGCAAAATCTCGAGTTCCTGCAAAGAAAACAACAGGGAATTCCACTACGAAAGCGGAACTAATGGTAACAGCTAATTCAGTAGCTGCTGCAGCCTGTATGTCTGGCCTGGCAACCGCTGTAACAGTGCCTAAGATTGAACCAGGAAAGAATGCTATTTCAGAGTTGGTGCCGAAGGCTGAACCCGTAAAAACCGCTTCCTTAGCCTCTTTGCCTCGTCCTTCAGGTATATCATCAGCACTGAATGCTGAGCCTGTAAAAAATGCTGTGGCAGCCTCTTTGCCTCGTCCATCAGGGATTATATCAGCACCAAAGGCTGCGCCTGTAAAAACTGCCGCTTCTGCAGCCTCTTTGCCTCGTCCATCAGGTATTATATTAGCACCAAAGGCTGAGCCTGTAAAAACCACCGCCTCTGCACCCTCTTTGCCTCGTCCATCAGGTAGTATATCAGCACCAAAGGCTGAGCTTGTAAAAACCGCCGCTTCTGCAGCTCCTTCACCTCGTCCATCAGGTATTATACAAGCACCAAAGGCCGAGCCTGCAAAAACCGCCGCTTCTGTAGCCTCTTTGCCTCGTCCATCAGGTATTATATCAGCACCAACTGCTGAGCCTGTAAAAACCGCTTCTGTAGCCTCTTTGCCTCGTCCATCAAGTGTTCTTTCAGCACCAAAGGCTGACCCAGTAAAGAGTGTTCCGGCTGCTGCCACTAACACTAAAGCGGTTGGACCTTTGAATTTAAGGCATGCAGTTAATGGAAGCCCAAACCACACAATATCTTCATCACCATTTAATAAGCCTTCACTTATGGCTCCTCTCTCCAAAGGATCTACAATCCCGAATAATTCAGTTCCTCCTAGTTTTGCATCGTCAAGGTTGGTTCCCACACAGAGAGTTCCTGCAGCTACTGTTATGCCACAAAAGCCAAGTGTGGTAGCCGCAGCTACTGTTATAACGCCACAAAAGCCAAGTATAGGAGCAGCAGTTACCGCCTCTTCCAAGCCGGTTGGTGTACAAAAGGAGCAAACTCAGGGAAACAGAGCAAGCCCCTTGGTTACAACAATACTTCCGCCAAATAAAACCATCCCAGCAAATTCAGTGGTTAGCACAGCAAAAGTGGTGGGTGCTAAAGTGGAGACTCCTCCTAGTCTTATACCTAAGAAAAATCAAGTAGTTGGAAGTTGCACAGATAATAAAAGTTCGTTGGATAAACCACCGGTGAAAGAAAGTAGTACCACGGTGTCACCTCTAGCTGTAGCTGCAACTGAATCAAAACCCAAAGATGAAAAGACCATGACCGGGACTGGGCAGAAGGAGTTGTAGTTCTAGTTCATTTACTGCATTGTTTTTGAGCTTTCATTAATGTTTTTTTCTTAGGACTCGGGACAATAATATGATGATGTACAGTAGGACCTCCAAATATAAGGTTCTTACTACTAATTAGTAATATGAATTAAAATATACTTCGAAATCTATAAAGCCAATTTTAAAGTTTAGAAAACAGTGAGAGCAAGAACATTCACTTTGATTTGTATCTCATTGGTTCTTCCACAGGTACACGACGTAAAAGCTAGAAAACAAGGAATTGAAAAGGCAAATAACAAAGAGATGATTGACTGATTGATTATTCAGGGAGCTTTCCAGGTGGTCTATTGTAACTAGACTGTTTTTGGAGACCTGGAGATGGACTGACACAAGAGAAGAGAGATGATGAAGATTGCTTCTGTTGTCTATTCTTCTTTAACTTGACACCGAACAAGAATGACCGTAATGGAATCCTCGGTCTTCCACTCGATGAGCTCTTGCTCGGAGTTGTTCTTGCTTCTGTTGCACTTGAGATCCCAAGATCCTCTTCTAGTTTAGTCAGAATCTTCTCCACTTCGGTTTTTAATGCTCTTACACGATCAAGACCTGATTGAAGTTCGGTTGAGACCCTTTTGTTTTCCTGTTTCATGTTAAGTATCTCTCCATGGAACTTTGCAGCTTGGTAACCACTAATCTCTGAATCACTTACTTTATTGCCACCTGATTGAGCCGTGACTCTTGCGATTTCTTCTTGGATATTAGCTAGTGATGCATACCTTCCCTGGAGTTCGTCTTTCAGAACCGCGCTGTTCTCTAGCCATAGCTGTAGTTCTGTTCGGATCTCTCTAAGGTGTCTATAGATAGGCTTGGCCTCTGATGCAACTGCAGTATTACTACTACTTCTTGGAGATTCATGTTGTTGCTTGCTTTCGATTCTCAGTTTCGATAGCTCTGATTTGAGATCCTGAACCGTTGTCTGGTACTTCTGTATCTGATGTACCGATGTGCTAAATCTTAACCAAAACTCGAGATTCTCTTCCAACACCGCGTCAATGTCTGCACGCACTTTGTCTTCCACAGTTGGAATCTTTGTTCTTGGGCTGTCATCAACGTCTGCAAATTTCACCCTAACCTCAGTTGACTTTGTTCTTCCAGGTGTTCTCTTCATGTCTCCCAATTGATGATGCGGCGTAGTGGAAACCGAAAAGTTAGAAGTTGGTGAAATGCTCACACTTTCATGATGTACTTGTTCATGTTCCAACTGATTATTTCCTTCTACTTGGTGTGGCGAATCTTTCCCGGGCGAGCTGAGTTTTTGGCGTAACGACTGAATCTCTACGTCTTTGTAAGCAACAGCATTCTTGAGTTCTCTCAACTGTAATGCTAACTCGAAGAATCCTTCCCGGTTCTTTTTCTCAACGTCACCTAACTTTCTCTTTACTTCTCTATAATCCCTTAACACTGATGTGTATTCATCTAACAGAACCTTCTCTCTATCCTCCATGCCATCAGGTAACAACTGCCTCCAGTTTGGTGTCTCTTCATCCTCGTCTTCCGTCACCAGATCTTCTGCTTCTGTTCCGAAACAAGTGCTTGCAGTTTCTGATAACGCAAACGAATCTTTCATCTCTGATTTCTCTTCTTGAGCTCTTTCACTGTCTTCACTCTCTTTAACTACAATCACATCTTTCTTCGTTTTCTCCACGCTACTCCTCATTTCCGTCTCCGTTGAGATTGACTTCAAATCATCGCGTGAATCTTCTGATTCCGAAACAACTGGCAGTTCCTGGAAAATTCCAGCTCCTTCGACATCTTCATCCATCTTCACATCTTGTATCTTGCCAGATAAATCATCAACAGTCCTATTGGCTACCTTGAATTGGTTCTGTAGATTCTTGTTTTGATCTTCTACTTTCTGGAACAGTTTTCTAACATTTCTCAGCTCATCTTCAAGCACCGTGATCCTCTGTTTCATAACCGTTGAATCCGAAACAAGAGCTGCTTTGTCCTCCTCTAGACCACGGATATGTTCATGTAACTCATCTGTCTCTGATCTTAAAGTCTTCACCAATGCAGTATGAGAAGAAGCATTGGTCTCCAATGAAACAACCCTATGCACAAGATCATCAATCTTCTCCGCAAGCTTCACAACAGTAAGATTCTCATTTGAATCTTCTCTCTCGGATTCATAACTCGATTCTTGAACCACATCATCAGCCTCTTTCTCTTCTTCTTCGTCTGTCCTAATAACCTCATCAAGAACATCATTTTCCGGTTTCTCAAACTTGTTCCTCAATGCATAAAACCGTTCTTTCGCAGTAGTAATCCTTCCTTTCTCAATTTCCGCTTCTTCAACAGATTTCCTCTGTTTCTCCTCAAGCTTAGCAAGAGTGTCCTTACAAGAGCTCAAAGCGGTGCTCGCCATCAAAGTCCTAGCATCACTATCATCTATCGAAGCACCAAGACCAAACTCATCTTGTAAATTACAAACGCTCTTCTGCATCTCAGTCACTTCATTCTCCAAATCCCAATACCTCTCATAAGACTGCTCATATGAGCTCCTCACAAACTCCTTCTCGGTCTGCAACGCCAAGATCCCCTTCTGAAGCTTATCAATCTCTTCCAAACCCTCTTCTTTACTCAATCCCGAACGCACAATCGCCGCTTCCCGCTTTGCTTGTGCAGAAGATACTGTCCTTTTCAGACCAGCTGGTCCTTTTCTAGACAACATCATAGACTGACTCCTGAAATCTTTCTTTTTAGGAATATCCGGGACTTCAGGTATGTTGATTCCCTTGGGAATAAGATGAAGATGCTTAGGCGGTTTCTGCGGATTCCCTTCATAATCTTCATTTTCATCACTATCATCCTCCAAAGGAAACTGAACATGTTCAGGGAAAGCTGTGGCTATTGTGCGGTTTGCACTTTGAAGCTCTCTAGATAAATGATCATAACGTTCAGCTAAGGCACGGTATGACCGAAAAGCTTCCTCCACAAAATTAACAATCTCCGGCCTTTTACGGTAATACATCTCAGCTCTTTTAGCAAAAGTGTCTCCATCTTCATCTATGATCTTAAGTGTATATTCTACCTTCTCTTCCATATCTACAACATCAAATAAATTCTTTGTTTAAGCATCTCTATTTCTTTGCATGGCACATAGAACCAAGAACATTATTATTAGGTGAAATGTGAATCAAGAAACGTACCCTGAAGATTGTGTTCGAGCCATTTGGATTGCTTTGTACGGATGTGGCTTGCCCACCACCATGAATACGCATTGCTCGCTGCTCTCTGCAACATCTTTTTTGTTGTACTAAGGAAGAAGAAGAAGGCTCAAACATGGCCAAGTCATCAATGTGATGTAGGTGTAAAATTTGGAACATGAGAGTTTCAAGATCAGACGAAGAAGAGAGAAGAAGGCTTTGTCCGTGTGTAGTGGACATGTCCGAGTATTTTGGTGAATCCTTTGATCAACCTCATTTTTAGGATATTACCTTTGACAATAACTAAATAGATAAAGACCAATAATAATAGAGAAATGTGACATTTCTTTCTTATCTGCATTTCTTATATTCAAATTATAAAATACTTTTTCCAGTGATATATGACAATTGTGTGCATGGAATATCAAATCCTATATACCCTAATTTTGACTCAGCTTTACTTAATCTTTAGGGAAATATGTTTTTTAGTCAGGTCCAAAACTAACGTTGCATAATCTGTTTTAAAAAGGTCCAAAAGTAGACATAGAAGGATGTAGTCAAGGAAGAACATGAATTACAATCTTAGGTTAAGAAATTTGGGTTGTATCCATATTTGGATCTCTATACACATTCTTATATCCATTAGTGCCAAAAAGCCAAACTTTTCATTGAAGCTAAATTCAGTAGAAAGTTCATCTCTTCTTCTTCGACATTGTCGGAACAGACGGAACTCTTTTTCCAATGGAAGCATACTCTTCTCTCCGTCTAAGCATACCTCCAGCCCTCACTCCCACAACTCTTGAAATCAAACTCTCATCATCACCAATTCTTGATTTCTCACATTTCAGACAAACCAAATCTCTTAAACCCTCAACAACATAATCCAAATTCCTACTTTTCAAACAACCCTATAAACCTACTCACCCAAACATCGTCTAACAAAATCTCAAATCCATATCAACATTCTCCATTGTAGTCATCTCTTCTTCTTCGACCTTGTCACAGCTCTTTCACCAGAGATCGTCGCATCTCTTTTCCCGATAGAAGCTTCATACTCTTCCCTCCGTCTAAGCATACCTCTAGTCTTCACTCCCACAACCCTCGAAACCAAACTCTCACCATCATCACAACTCACTCTTGATTTCTCACATTCCTTATCAGATTTCTGACAAACCAAATCTCTTAAACCCTCAACAACATAATCCAAATTCCTACTTTTCAAACAACCCTATAAACCTACTCACCCAAACATCGTCTAACAAAATCTCAAATCCATATCAACATTCTCCATTGTAGTCATCTCTTCTTCTTCGACCTTGTCACAGCTCTTTCACCAGAGATCGTCGCATCTCTTTTCCCGATAGAAGCTTCATACTCTTCCCTCCGTCTAAGCATACCTCTAGTCTTCACTCCCACAACCCTCGAAACCAAACTCTCACCATCATCACAACTCACTCTTGATTTCTCACATTCCTTATCAGATTTCTGACAAACCAAATCTCTTAAACCCTCAACAACATAATCCAAATTCCTACTTTTCAAACAACCCTATAAACCTACTCACCCAAACATCGTCTAACAAAATCTCAAATCCATATCAACATTCTCCATTGTAGTCATCTCTTCTTCTTCGACCTTGTCACAGCTCTTTCACCAGAGATCGTCGCATCTCTTTTCCCGATAGAAGCTTCATACTCTTCCCTCCGTCTAAGCATACCTCTAGTCTTCACTCCCACAACCCTCGAAACCAAACTCTCACCATCATCACAACTCACTCTTGATTTCTCACATTCCTTATCAGATTTCTGACAAACCAAATCTCTTAAACCCTCAACAACATAATCCAAATTCCTACTTTTCAAACAACCCTATAAACCTACTCACCCAAACATCGTCTAACAAAATCTCAAATCCATATCAACATTCTCCATTGTAGTCATCTCTTCTTCTTCGACCTTGTCACAGCTCTTTCACCAGAGATCGTCGCATCTCTTTTCCCGATAGAAGCTTCATACTCTTCCCTCCGTCTAAGCATACCTCTAGTCTTCACTCCCACAACCCTCGAAACCAAACTCTCACCATCATCACAACTCACTCTTGATTTCTCACATTCCTTATCAGATTTCTGACAAACCAAATCTCTTAAACCCTCAACAACATAATCCAAATTCCTACTTTTCAAACAACCCTATAAACCTACTCACCCAAACATCGTCTAACAAAATCTCAAATCCATATCAACATTCTCCATTGTAGTCATCTCTTCTTCTTCGACCTTGTCACAGCTCTTTCACCAGAGATCGTCGCATCTCTTTTCCCGATAGAAGCTTCATACTCTTCCCTCCGTCTAAGCATACCTCTAGTCTTCACTCCCACAACCCTCGAAACCAAACTCTCACCATCATCACAACTCACTCTTGATTTCTCACATTCCTTATCAGATTTCTGACAAACCAAATCTCTTAAACCCTCAACAACATAATCCAAATTCCTACTTTTCAAACAACCCTATAAACCTACTCACCCAAACATCGTCTAACAAAATCTCAAATCCATATCAACATTCTCCATTGTAGTCATCTCTTCTTCTTCGACCTTGTCACAGCTCTTTCACCAGAGATCGTCGCATCTCTTTTCCCGATAGAAGCTTCATACTCTTCCCTCCGTCTAAGCATACCTCTAGTCTTCACTCCCACAACCCTCGAAACCAAACTCTCACCATCATCACAACTCACTCTTGATTTCTCACATTCCTTATCAGATTTCTGACAAACCAAATCTCTTAAACTACCAACAACATCATCCAAAATCTTATCTTTCAAACAACCCTCAAGACAATAAAGATCCTGATACCTATTCACTGGAATATCATCAAACGAAATATCAACAACATTTTTCTTCTCTTCTTCTTCTACATTGTAATCTTCCCAATCATAAGGAAACCCTAAACGAAAACGATTACAAACCTCATTCGAAACACCGTTCTCTAAACTACGAGATCGATTGATGAAACCATTGATAGAAATTGTAATCCCATCAATTGCTTCAAGAGTGGTACTTTCATGTCGTTTTGAGATTGTTCCTGATGAAAATAGTCTTACTCCAGATCCACCATTTGATTCGAATCCTGTGATACTTAGACCTTTGCTTTTCTTTGTTAGCCACCAATCGGATAATGTGATGGATTTTAGGGTTTTGATTGGAGTGATGAGTGATAAGGGAAATGGTGTTCGGAAAGTTTTGTCGGTTCCTGGAGAGGAATTGGGTTCTGGTAAAGTTTTGGAGAAAGTACGCGGCGAGGGATTGGGTTCCGGCAGCGGTGTTGAGCGACGTGCTGAGAGAGACTGGAATTTTGACTTCGTCTTCGTCATCAGAAGGTCTTCGATGGTGGGAGTGAGAAATTTTCCTAAGTGAACTAAAAGATTAAATGGAAATTCTTCATCATCGTGAATTAGGGTTCGCAGCTGGCAATTGTTTTTCGGTTTAGTTTGGTTTTGCAAAAACATTTTAGTTTGGTTTCAATATATTTTAGTCAAAATCATTTTGGTTCTACAAAAATCCAGAGTTTGAATGATTTTGGTATATAAATTTCTATATCATTCGAGTTACAATTCAAATTTCGATTGATGAATTTTTTAGTTTGATTTGGTTTTGGTGAGTAGATTTTATTGGAGTTAGGGGTTTTCTCTCTTCTCTCTTTCAATCTTGTTAGAGAAGAAAAGCGATTTCAGAGATTTCTTCCGGTACCGACGGCTTTCTTAGCGTTGGTTGGTCGGCTCTAGTCCGAAATCATCTGACTTTCATAACAGCGATGTTCGGCTTCTATGTCATGATTTAGTCGGGCTCTCGTTCGGCATCTCCAACTTTTTCAGTGAAGGTGGCTGACTCTTTTCTTGGCAGCATACGGCTCCATCAGCGGTGTTGGTTGGATTTTAGTTTTACTTTGGCCGTAGATGAGTTTTTTCTCACCTTTTTGGTCTTTGTTTTCCCTTCAATAATTTCAGCGATTATGTGTTGGTGATGACGATTTAATTGCTATGTCGCTTAAAACTATTGATTATGCGGCTCATATTGTTTGAGACTGTGTTTTATAGGAACTAACAAAAAGATTTGCGTTTATAATTGAAGAGAAGAAGAAGATTTCGAAGCATATTACACAATTCCTTTAGTTGTTATATTTCAGTTTGGAGTTTCGATTGTCTTATTCCGGTTGAAAACACAAAGATTCATGGTTCGATTTCTGTATCGACAGTGACTCTTTCACCGAAATCCTTTAGGTTACTCATCCCCATTTGTCTGATTTGTTTTTCATTGCTGACACGCTGCGTTTTGGATGATGTCAACTCTTTTTCAATTTGAAATGATCTTCGGCTCTTTTGGGCTTTAATTAATCCTTGTAAAATCTATGGGTGGGACTATTGTTTATAGGGATTTTTGTCAATAGTGACATGAAATTGAGTTATCATTTTGGGAATTGCCATTTTTAAAAACACATTTCCAAATGAGGTCATAAACGGATTCTGTGGCACATGAAAAGACAACGTTGCCCTTGTAGACATCTGCGATAAAAAGAAAAGATGGGTGACTTGTCTGACGTAAATGAACCTACAAAATAGCTATAACTTAACTCTACACTATAGGTTGTACAACAGTATTTAATGATGCATTAATTGTGGACAGAGGAATGTTAGTGTTTATTTACGGGATAATAGTTGGTTTTGATTACTACAATAATTTTTAGAATCTCAGAAAATAAGAATAAAGGTTGTCTACACAAGCAAAAGAAGAAGAGAGGTGAAGTTATTATGTCCTCAGCATCTTTGTCTGCATCTTCTTTCCTTGGATAATGTGTGGACAACTCTTCGTTGTTGTCTTCAGATATTAGTTTTATTTCCACAAATTCCTCTCCAAGATATAATGTAGTGTAAACTGATGATTATATTAGAAGAGAGTACATCGTTCTTTTATATAGAGTCTCTAGAGCTATACAAGGAAAGAGAATATGTACACAGTAAATAGAAAGCGTTGATAGAGGAGATGATATGATATGACAGAGATGATGATTTGTGATCATGTCTGTTTGCCTTATATGTGGATCTTTAATACGCCCCCTCAAGATGGAGGGGCTAAGGTGACTCCAATCTTGTTGCGTAGATACTGAAATGTTGCTCGAGTTAAAGGCTTGGTTAGCGCATCAGCAAGTTGATCCTTGGTGGAGACATGTGAGACCCGAAGTTTACCACTTTGAATCAGCTCCCGAATGAAGTGGTAGGCAATTGCAATATGTTTCATTCTCGAATGAACACGAGATTAGCACATAGGTAAGTTGCTCCAATGTTATCATAATAGAGTGTTGGAGTTGCATTCATCTTTAGACCAAGTTCTGATAGGATAGAACATATCCAAAGAAGTTCTGAAGCTGCATTTGCCACTGCTCTGTATTCCGCTTCTGTTGAGGATCTGGCCACACCCTTCTGTTTCTTAGATGACCATGATATCGGTTGAGCACCAAGGTAGATTATGTAGGCATTGGTAGAGACACAGTCTGCCACATTTCCTGCCCAATCAGCATCAAAAAAGCCATGAAGAGTGAGTGGATTATCTTTGCGGAAAAATAAACCGTATGAGCTTGTTCCAGCAAGATAACAGAGGACTCTTTTAGTGGCTTGCCAATGATCAGTTGTCGGAGAATGCATGAATTATGACAGGTGATTTACAGCGTAGGCTATATCCGGTCGAGTGAACGCAAGATATTGTAGACTACCAACCAATGTTCGATACTCAGTCGGGTTTGAATGAGGCTCTCCTGTCATTGTAAGCTTTGGAGTTGTCGCCATCGGAGTAGTGACTCGTTTTGCATCCTGCATTCGCATCTTTGTCAAAAGATCTAAGATATACTTGCGTTGATTTAAGTGAAGACCAGAGGTAATATTCACAAATCATCATCTCTGTCATATCATATCATCTCCTCTGTCAACGCTTATGAGGTAATATTTGAATTTGTCTATGGACAGTAGAGGAGAAGTCCAGACATCAGTGAATAAGTATTCCAAAGGACGAGTGGAGGTGATTGAAGATTGAGAGAATGATAATTTATGACTTTTATTAGTTAAGCAATCACTACAAGAGAGTGGGTTTGACAAGGAATCAAAAACAGGTAAATTAAAACTTGAAAGCATCTTTTGTAAAACAGAAATGGATGGATGTCCAAGCCTGGAATGCCAAGTTGAAACATCGGATTTTATTTTTGTGGTGGAAATTGAAAAAACAGAAACTTGAGAAGAGGAAAGTGGCCACTCATACAGCTCATGTTTAGTACGGCCTTGGAGTAACGGCGCCCCCGTGCTCAGATCTTTCACCTGAAAGAAAGCCGGAAAAAATTCAACAGAAACGTTATTAGCATTGCATAAGCGATATACCGAGATAAGATTTGTAATGCCTCGACCGTCCCTGCCAGTGAGCACCCACGTCCAATCTCAGGCCCGTGGGCCCCACCCCTGTCCGACGATCGGTCCGCTACGTCCGTGAGGCTTTAAAGACTTGTTTACCAACCCTACAAATCACCACGTGATCTTTCTCCGTGTTTTGTCCTCACTCACACGGTTCCGACAATCACTTCCCAGAAGGTCACCCATCCTGAAACTACTCCAGCCCAAGCACGCTTAACTGTGGAGTTCTCTCAGGACAGTTGACCGAAAAGATAAGTGCATTTTGGTGACATAGGTGGCCAAATCAATTCTTATAAACTTCTCCGCATGCACCACCACATTCCTGAAACCGGGGTGTTACAATTCACCCCCACTAACAGATCCCAACGTCCTCGTTGCTCACCAAGACCATAACCCCCGACGGTGTAAGCCATCCTGACTCCACACTCGTCTGGGTTCGGCTCTGATACCACTTGTAACGCCTCGACCGTCCCTGCCAGTGAGCACCCACGTCCAATCTCAGGCCCATGTGTGGGCCCCACCCCTGTCCGACAGTCGGTCCGCTACGTCCGGGAGGCTTTAAAGACTTGTTTACCGACCCTACAAATCACCACGTGATCTTTCTCCGTGTTTTGTCCTCACTCACACGGTTCCGACAATCACTTCCCAGAAGGTCACCCATCCTGAAACTACTCCAGCCCAAGCTCGCTTAACTGTGGAGTTCTCTCAGGACAGCTGACCGAAAAGATAAGTGCACTTTGGTGACATAGGTGGCCAAATCAATTCTTATAAACCTCTCCGCATGCACCACCACATTCCTGAAACCGGGGTGTTACAAGATTCTTCTTAATATCCGGTACATAAAGAACATCATTAAGAGATAAAGGCCGAGTTTGAGAGGTGAGATAAGTCGAACCAGTATGAGTGATAGAGAGCCCCTTTCCATCACCAATTACCACTTCCTCTCCACCGGTGTAAGGCTGATGAAGACTGAGGTTGGCGAGATCGGATGAAATATGGTATGACAGAGATGATGATTTGTGATCATATCTGTTTGCCTTATATGTGGATCCTTAATACAAGATTTGCAGACAATTATTTGTTATTGTCTTTAGGGATTTGTAGACAACTCTTCGTTGTTGTCTTCAGAAATTGGTTTAATCGATGTTTCGTCCAAAGGTGGTGCAATTTTGTCCACACCAAACTAAAACCTTCAAAAATACTTTGTTATTGCAGTGGTCGAAGAAAAGAATAATATTGTTAAGAGATGACTATTTGATCGAAGAAAAGAATAATATTGTTAAGAGATGACGATTTGATCGAAGAAAAAAATAATATTGTTAAGAGATGACGATTTTGTAGACAACTCTTGAATTTTGTCCACGTCAGATTCAGGTGAATGGATTCGGAAGAGTCATGATCCTTGCCTTCTACTTTAATTTGAATTTTATCTCTTATTTTTAATAATAAAAATGGTTTGTATCAGAATTTGGTGGGAGTTTTAAAGATGAGATGGCATGTGAATTAAATTTTCATCAGAGCAATCAAAATGTCAAATCGTGAACATTGTAGTAAATCAGCGAGGGTAATTTGGTCATTCTCGATCAGAGAAATGGCATTTGCTATTAGTAGTTTTTTTAATGTCATTCTGTAAAATTAAAGTGTAAAAGATGGCATAATCATTAAAAATCTCTTGTTTATATTAGTCCACCTTTGTATGGCTGGTTTCTTTCAATAAAATATGATTTGTGAAAAAAAAGTAGACTTTATTGGCTATCCAAAGAAAAAGAAAAAGAATTGGACCCTAGTGAATTAGTAATATAAATATAAAAGCCTTAAAATGGGCTGATATGGGCCCTAAAAATGGGCCCGTTTCATAAAATTTGGTCGGTGGAGCAATACACCACGACGGTCCAATTATAAGATCACGTGGAAAGTATTTCGGATAAGAAGAGTCAAAAATTCCGTTTGGTGAAAATCGTAAATTTGCGGGACCACTCAAAACTTGAAAAATATCCATTCATTCATCATTTCCTCTAATCCAAAAAAAAAAAAAAACTCGGAGGTGATCGTTTGTCTCTGTGGGTTAATGAAGCTGCCACGAATTGGAAACAATGGCTGGAAAGCCACTTTTCGGGAAATAAAATGCTGGAATGCCACCTTCGTATATTCATTTTCTTTTACAATTTTTTTATAAGTCAAAAGCTAAGGAAATGTCCAAAAGCCCTTTCAAAAGGTTAACAATTACAAAACCTAACATGAAATTCACTATCTCAACAACCAAACACTCTCAATCGTTCTCCTCCTCTTCTTCCAGATCATGTTGCTTTCTTTTGCCAATCGTTTGTTTCCAAAATCAACAAAAAAAAAAATGGCGAGACTTTTCGTCTCTATCCCTATGTAACCCACACAAATAAGCTTCTCTGCGTCTTCTTCTCAGCCACTATTCTCGTGGCCGGTGAACAATTTCCCCGATGGTGTAGCCGGAGGATTATGTCTTAGACAGAGAATCAGAGACTGTTCCGTGGTGAAGCGAGCAGGGCCTAGTACGAGCATCTACTTGCTCGCGTTCGCAAATTCCTGCTACTTTTGTCGCCGCCACTGTCTTCACTTCAATCAAAATCGCTGATAAACTCGACGAAGATTTCCTTGAGGATGTAAGATCACCGTTTCCAAAAACAATATAATTCCTTCAATCTTTGTCATATCTAATTCAGATTCGAATTTCGTCTAATTGTTTAGTGTTAACATTGCTTTAGGTCTAGTTTGGCTCAATGCTAGTTATAGGATTTGAGGTACATAGAAGGTAATTTTAATTTCTAGAACAAGAAACGTTCGAAGAATTTGGGGAAAACAATGAACAAATGAATTATTAGCACTAACTTTTGAATTTGGGTTGACTTGGTTCAGTTTGGTTAAAGTTGTTGAATTTATGGCATCCTTAGAAAGTAAGAGAAAATCACATCCTCTTAGAGTCCATTTTGCATTCTAGTAGAATTGGATTTCTTTGATAAATCACATACAATGTTCGGCCTAAAGTGTTGCTGAGCAGAGTCTCTAACACATGGCAAAGTAAGGAACTTATTCTGATCCCTGTAAAAATATTGTGTCCGTAAGGGGGAATGGATCGAAACATGGTTCTTGTATCTAGCCTGATAATCATGTATCATCCATACATGCTGCTAATGCTGGTAATATCACTTTATACCATATGTGTTAACATCTTTTACACTTGTTTGTTTCGTTTGTTTGCTATAAGCTTTGTTTGTTGCTTTTGTTTAGGTGTTGTAAATGCTTTAAACTTGATTAAGGATATCAAAGAAAAATAATCTAGGGAAATGATTCATAGGTTCTGATTTGTTTAGAAAGTATAAAACTTTTTAGCGTGAATCTGTTGGTTATGAAGTTTTGCAGTGTTGCTCTGTCAAAGATAGAGAAGAAGTGGAAGGAAGAGCTTGATCAAGAACTGTAAAGAAAGCGAACAAGTCAAGTCTTTTTTGTGAAAATCATGATTGTACACTGCACGTACTTGTGGTCTTCACGATTCTAGATCAATAATCAACTCGTTGACTTGTAGTATATGTTGTTGCAGAGATCATGCGCCAAGCAGGTTTGGTATCATCCCCAAGAGACCGAGGCTTGAGCCGACCGAGAGAGGTCGAGATTTACATCTCCAAGATTGCACATGACTTATGTTTTTGTATTTCATTTCTGTATTTTGTTGTGTTGTGGATCTTAAACATATGACTTCATGTTTTTGTAAACAAAAAAAAATATTTAGATTATATTTATGTTCAATTGCTTTTGTAGGTACAACTGGTCTATTTAGGTACCACTACGTGTATAAGTTACACATAAGAAAGTACAACTAGAAACAACTGAAACAATTAAAATAACCTTTTTAAAAAATAAAAATAATATTATTGGATATTAAAATAAATTTAAACGAAGTATAAAAAATTAAAAAAAATAAAAATTAAATATAACCCACGTAAGCATGATTTTTGGCGGCGGGATATTAATTTAAAAACATCACACGTGCTGTAAAGTGGGCCAAAGACAGCGGGATATTCATAAAAAATTGTTTGATATAAACGTAGTTGTACCTAGTTGTTCAGTTGTACTCACATATTCATAGTTGGACTTTGGCGATTTTTGCGTATTTTCAGTTGGACTTTAATAAAAATTAGTAATTTTAAGTTGGACACATGTTGTTACACTATTAATTATCATTTAAGAAGTTTTCATAATACAATTTGTACGAAATCATAATTTTCACCTATTTTGCATCAAAAGAGGTGATCACCTACAAAGTGTTCCTTGTACTATAAGGAGTGTTTCATATGAAAACAATAGTATGCACTAGGAAAATGATAAATTCAAGTTTTATTTATTTAAAATTGTTTCTTTTTAGTTCAACATGTTTTTGGAATCTTTGTTAACTCTAATTTATCGTTTTTCATATTTGTTGAATACACATACAAATACATGTATAGTCTTAGTTGTACCTTCTCAAAACCTAATTATACCCAGTTGAACATAGTTGTACGAATACGACAAGTACATATACTGATACATACATGGTTATAGTTATAAGTTTTAGCTGTACCCAGTATATTTATGGTCTTAGTTGTACTAGTCGGTCCTAATTGTACCAGTCGAATCTAGTCGGTACTAGTCGGTCCTAATTGTACTAGTCGGTCCTAATTGTACCAGTCGAATCTAGTTGTACCCAGTCGAACATGGTTGTACGACAAATACAAATGATTTTTAGTCATCAAATATTCTTTTAATTAATATCATTTATCTTCCACAGGGCAATGAATTTGGTTCTATTAATCACTGTTAGTGTTGCACAATAGAACGATAAACTAAAGACACCTTGAGAATCCTTAACCACACAAAAAACTTCAATATAAATGTGCGAACATGAAGTCTACTTAAATTATTTTCTTAATTTTAGAAGGGAAAGCAAGAGAGCATGTCAAACAACCCTAGCACTAGCAGAACCTAAATCTACTTGCATAAGAACTCAAAAAAGTCATCAAAAACACCGTCATCAGACGACGAGAGTGGAGCTATGGCAGCCAAAACCTTTGCCTTTTCTTCCAACGAGGTCTGAACACTTTCGCTTCACTTTCTCCAAATGAGCTTCGAGCCTTGAACACTTCAGCTTCAAATCCTTCAACTCTTCCTCAATTTCTTTTCTCCCGAGTCTCACCAGCTTCCTCTTTCTTTTTATTTTTTGTCACTTGATCAAGTTTCTTCTTCAACCAATCTAACTTAAATCCATAATCAGTCAGGGATTCAGCCCAACATAGTAGCAAATCAGATTTTGCCTTACACACATTACAATGATGGCAAGAGACAATTACAAGCAATGACTTACAGATTAAATTCATTACAAGACTAAATTATGAATTTTGAGGTAGAATTTGCCATAAGAATTCATGATTACGAAATTGACAGTTCTCGTTCCCAATATCGAATCCTACCACACTCATCTAAACGTATCAACAAGAGATCTTAGATATAAAGTTATAAACGCATAATAAAATTCTTCCTCTTCGAAGAGAAATCAAATCAAACGAGAAGAAGGACAAAAGATGAAGAAGACTATACAATTAACAGAAACTTCGAATCGTTGATGCAGAACCTCTAATAACTGAGAGAGCGTTGTCCTCGTTGGAGCGGTGGTGGTTGTTGTTGATATCCATGGCGGAAGATTGAGAAACTAAGAAATAATCTCTTAGTTTCATCAATGGCAGAGGAGAGGAGAACAAACCAATTGCAAGGACGAGACGCCGGAGACGGTGGGCGGCGAGATCGGCGAGGTGAGCTCTGGTTTGTTGGGAGGAGAGAATCGGAGGTGAGGATGCGATCAAATTTTTTTTTGCTTTTTTTTTTTTTTTTGTTTTAATTTCCAATAGTTAATTAAATAAAAATATTCATTAAGGACAAAATGGAAATAACACATACTAGAATGGCATACAGACTCCAAAATGGCAGGCCAGATTAATATTTCCGGTTCAGTGGCAAACAAGCCTCTGTCTCTTTCAAGAACAACCACAAGACATAACGTTAGCTAACGTGCGCGAGGAGGAGCTTTGACGTATCAATCTAAAATACGCCAATTCGTGGAGACAGAGGCTTGTTTGCCACTGAACCGGAAATATTAATCTGGCCTGCCATTTTGGAGTCTGTATGCCATTCTAGTATGTGTTATTTCCATTTTGTCCTTAATGAATATTTTTATTTAATTAACTATTGGAAATTAAAACAAAAAAAAAAAAAAGCAAAAAAAAATTTGATCGCATCCTCACCTCCGATTCTCTCCTCCCAACAAACCAGAGCTCACCTCGCCGATCTCGCCGCCCACCGTCTCCGGCGTCTCGTCCTTGCAATTGGTTTGTTCTCCTCTCCTCTGCCATTGATGAAACTAAGAGATTATTTCTTAGTTTCTCAATCTTCCGCCATGGATATCAACAACAACCACCACCGCTCCAACGAGGACAACGCTCTCTCAGTTATTAGAGGTTCTGCATCAACGATTCGAAGTTTCTGTTAATTGTATAGTCTTCTTCATCTTTTGTCCTTCTTCTCGTTTGATTTGATTTCTCTTCGAAGAGGAAGAATTTTATTATGCGTTTATAACTTTATATCTAAGATCTCTTGTTGATACGTTTAGATGAGTGTGGTAGGATTCGATATTGGGAACGAGAACTGTCAATTTCGTAATCATGAATTCTTATGGCAAATTCTACCTCAAAATTCATAATTTAGTCTTGTAATGAATTTAATCTGTAAGTCATTGCTTGTAATTGTCTCTTGCCATCATTGTAATGTGTGTAAGGCAAAATCTGATTTGCTACTATGTTGGGCTGAATCCCTGACTGATTATGGATTTAAGTTAGATTGGTTGAAGAAGAAACTTGATCAAGTGACAAAAAATAAAAAGAAAGAGGAAGCTGGTGAGACTCGGGAGAAAAGAAATTGAGGAAGAGTTGAAGGATTTGAAGCTGAAGTGTTCAAGGCTCGAAGCTCATTTGGAGAAAGTGAAGCGAAAGTGTTCAGACCTCGTTGGAAGAAAAGGCAAAGGTTTTGGCTGCCATAGCTCCACTCTCGTCGTCTGATGACGGTGTTTTTGATGACTTTTTTGAGTTCTTATGCAAGTAGATTTAGGTTCTGCTAGTGCTAGGGTTGTTTGACATGCTCTCTTGCTTTCCCTTCTAAAATTAAGAAAATAATTTAAGTAGACTTCATGTTCGCACATTTATATTGAAGTTTTTTGTGTGGTTAAGGATTCTCAAGGTGTCTTTAGTTTATCGTTCTATTGTGCAACACTAACAGTGATTAATAGAACCAAATTCATTGCCCTGTGGAAGATAAATGATATTAATTAAAAGAATATTTGATGACTAAAAATCATTTGTATTTGTCGTACAACCATGTTCGACTGGGTACAACTAGATTCGACTGGTACAATTAGGACCGACTAGTACAATTAGGACCGACTAGTACCGACTAGATTCGACTGGTACAATTAGGACCGACTAGTACAACTAAGACCATAAATATACTGGGTACAGCTAAAACTTATAACTATAACCATGTATGTATCAGTATATGTACTTGTCGTATTCGTACAACTATGTTCAACTGGGTATAATTAGGTTTTGAGAAGGTACAACTAAGACTATACATGTATTTGTATGTGTATTCAACAAATATGAAAAACGATAAATTAGAGTTAACAAAGATTCCAAAAACATGTTGAACTAAAAAGAAACAATTTTAAATAAATAAAACTTGAATTTATCATTTTCCTAGTGCATACTATTGTTTTCATATGAAACACTCCTTATAGTACAAGGAACACTTTGTAGGTGATCACCTCTTTTGATGCAAAATAGGTGAAAATTATGATTTCGTACAAATTGTATTATGAAAACTTCTTAAATGATAATTAATAGTGTAACAACATGTGTCCAACTTAAAATTACTAATTTTTATTAAAGTCCAACTGAAAATACGCAAAAATCGCCAAAGTCCAACTATGAATATGTGAGTACAACTGAACAACTAGGTACAACTACGTTTATATCAAACAATTTTTTATGAATATCCCGCTGTCTTTGGCCCACTTTACAGCACGTGTGATGTTTTTAAATTAATATCCCGCCGCCAAAAATCATGCTTACGTGGGTTATATTTAATTTTTATTTTTTTTAATTTTTTATACTTCGTTTAAATTTATTTTAATATCAAATAATATTATTTTTATTTTTTAAAAAGGTTATTTTAATTGTTTCAGTTGTTTCTAGTTGTACTTTCTTATGTGTAACTTATACACGTAGTGGTACCTAAATAGACCAGTTGTACCTACAAAAGCAATTGAACATAAATATAATCTAAATATTTTTTTTTGTTTACAAAAACATGAAGTCATATGTTTAAGATCCACAACACAACAAAATACAGAAATGAAATACAAAAACATAAGTCATGTGCAATCTTGGAGATGTAAATCTCGACCTCTCTCGGTCGGCTCAAGCCTCGGTCTCTTGGGGATGATACCAAACCTGCTTGGCGCATGATCTCTGCAACAACATATACTACAAGTCAACGAGTTGATTATTGATCTAGAATCGTGAAGACCACAAGTACGTGCAGTGTACAATCATGATTTTCACAAAAAAGACTTGACTTGTTCGCTTTCTTTACAGTTCTTGATCAAGCTCTTCCTTCCACTTCTTCTCTATCTTTGACAGAGCAACACTGCAAAACTTCATAACCAACAGATTCACGCTAAAAAGTTTTATACTTTCTAAACAAATCAGAACCTATGAATCATTTCCCTAGATTATTTTTCTTTGATATCCTTAATCAAGTTTAAAGCATTTACAACACCTAAACAAAAGCAACAAACAAAGCTTATAGCAAACAAACGAAACAAACAAGTGTAAAAGATGTTAACACATATGGTATAAAGTGATATTACCAGCATTAGCAGCATGTATGGATGATAGATGATTATCAGGCTAGATACAAGAACCATGTTTCGATCCATTCCCCCTTACGGACACAATATTTTTACAGGGATCAGAATAAGTTCCTTACTTTGCCATGTGTTAGAGACTCTGCTCAGCAACACTTTAGGCCGAACATTGTATGTGATTTATCAAAGAAATCCAATTCTACTAGAATGCAAAATGGACTCTAAGAGGATGTGATTTTCTCTTACTTTCTAAGGATGCCATAAATTCAACAACTTTAACCAAACTGAACCAAGTCAACCCAAATTCAAAAGTTAGTGCTAATAATTCATTTGTTCATTGTTTTCCCCAAATTCTTCGAACGTTTCTTGTTCTAGAAATTAAAATTACCTTCTATGTACCTCAAATCCTATAACTAGCATTGAGCCAAACTAGACCTAAAGCAATGTTAACACTAAACAATTAGACGAAATTCGAATCTGAATTAGATATGACAAAGATTGAAGGAATTATATTGTTTTTGGAAACGGTGATCTTACATCCTCAAGGAAATCTTCGTCGAGTTTATCAGCGATTTTGATTGAAGTGAAGACAGTGGCGGCGACAAAAGTAGCAGGAATTTGCGAACGCGAGCAAGTAGATGCTCGTACTAGGCCCTGCTCGCTTCACCACGGAACAGTCTCTGATTCTCTGTCTAAGACATAATCCTCCGACTACACCATCGGGGAAATTGTTCACCGGCCACGAGAATAGTGGCTGAGAAGAAGACGCAGAGAAGCTTATTTGTGTGGGTTACATAGGGATAGAGACGAAAAGTCTCGCCATTTTTTTTTTTGTTGATTTTGGAAACAAACGATTGGCAAAAGAAAGCAACATGATCTGGAAGAAGAGGAGGAGAACGATTGAGAGTGTTTGGTTGTTGAGATAGTGAATTTCATGTTAGGTTTTGTAATTGTTAACCTTTTGAAAGGGCTTTTGGACATTTCCTTAGCTTTTGACTTATAAAAAAATTGTAAAAGAAAATGAATATACAAAGGTGGCATTCCAGCATTTTATTTCCCGAAAAGTGGCTTTCCAGCCATTGTTTCTTCTTGAAACAAAGAAAGAAACTATTCAACAACAACAAGAAGAAGAAGAAGAAGAAAGAAGAAGAAGAAGAAGCTCACCGTTTCTCTCCGATTCTATCCACTGTTCTTCTCCGATTGCTTCCGATCTCTCTGGATTTCTCAATTCCGTACGGAGTAGGTAACTTCCGCGAAATTCTTGCATTTTTCGGGTTTAATTTTGCGTGACATTTGAGAAGAATTCGAAGGAATTGTGTGAATCGGACTTTAATCATGCTTGATTAGACAAAGATCGGCTTTAATTAGTGCGAATTTCGATGAAATCGTCTCAGTCTTGTAGCATTTGCTATAGTGTATATCGTCCTCTGTGTTGCATGCGTGAAGTTAGTAGAATTATGCAAATTGTTTGATGATTTTGAAGGTTTAATGTTCTGCGAAGCTAATTCTTGATTTTGTGCAGGCTAATTGATTGTAGTTGATCATTGTTTTGTACATTTGGGATGATGATGCGTACTGTCTCTCTACCATTGTCTCATGATCTGAATGTTCATAAGATCCATGAACCTTCTGGATACCATAATGTACGTAGTGTTGTTTTCGGATTTTTGATTTTATTGTTGATTCCTGTGTTTTTGTTATCTAAGATTAATCTGTTCTTGGGTGTGTCCAATTTCTCTTTTCTTTTCTTGCAGAGTGCAGCTGGTAAAAATCGTGTGTATCTGACTCGGACTGGTCTTTCATCATGTGCCACGGTATCATCTGTGCTCATAGCATTGTTCAATGGTTTAGTTTTTTTTGCTCTTTGCATTTGTTAGTGCTTCTGTTTGATTTTCTTCAAGCAATGTTGGTGTTTTGATGGAACCCTCCTCTAACTTTTAGGGTGATTTTTTTTGTAGTAATTCTCATATTTATGCTTGTGGGTCTGCTTCTATTGTATTTAAGATTATTTGTCTATGTGTCTGATAGTTATGGTATAGCCATTTGTTTGCTATTTATCTCCCCCCTTTTGACATAGATTCATGTTTTTAGTGAAGTTTGGATTTTTTTTTAACTAATATAACCTTCACCGCTTCATGTGGGCTTTTATTAACGTTTCTTTTCCTGTTTTCTTAGAGACAAGACGTTTGGAGTCTTCAGCTTCTAGAGAGCTTGAGTGGTTCAATAGTACCTGTATCATCTAGGTGTAATGCATTCGTTTGCCGGTCAGCTCTCTTTCCCGGGAATGGAAATGAAGGCCCTATTCTTAAATCAACTGGAGTAATATTCACAAGGTTATATGCTTGAACCTAAATTCATTTGTACTATTAAATGATTTAGCTGTGCTCACACATCACATGCTTTTGCTTACAACTGAGACCCAAAAGATACCAGTAGTTGGAATAGGATATTATTTCCACGTTTGGGCTATCTTTCATATTCATTTATAGTGTACTTTTTAATTATTTATGCCATTTTACCTGAAATGTTTGTTATTGATATCAGGGCATATGATGCTTTACACGGAAATCCTCATTTAATGAAACTAATTCCAGCAGTTGGGATTCTTGCATTTGCTACATGGGGTCTTAGACCCCTTCTGCGCCTTGCCAGAGCTACCCTGTTTGAGGTGAGATGTCATTCTCTCTTATACATTCCTTCAATTTCGGTTCCTGGATTACTTGCTATAGTTTATTTTAAGTGGATGCAACTTTAATTCCAGAAGGGGAATGATGCAAATTCACAGAAGAGTAGCACACAATACATTGTTGTGTCATACCTTCAGCCTTTGCTGCTTTGGAGCGGAGCAATCCTTTTATGCAGGTCAATAGTATTTTTGTTTCGTAACTAGTTAACTATTATATGTGTTTACTAAAACCAATATGGAATTGCCTTTCAGAACATTGGACCCAATAGTATTGCCTTCAAGTGCCAGCCAGGCTGTTAAACAGCGTCTTCTGACCTTTGCTCGGTCCATGTCAACGGTGTTGGCATTTGCTTACTGTTTATCAAGGTAAGCAAGAGTTTCTTAAGGATACAAGTCTTCAAAAGAGCTAAATGACCTTACTGCAGGTTCACCATTTAGGTGCTATTTTATTTCTGCCCCTGTATATGTATATCATAACTTAGCTTTACTGAGTACCAAATGGTTTTTCAGTTACTGAGCATGTTTGATTCAATCTTTGTGCTGATACAATATGTCTTTTCTACAGCCTACTTCAGCAGGTGCAGAAATATTTTATGGAGACAAATAATCCTGCTGATACCAGAAATGTACGTCTTCCTATCATTAAAACAGATTTGGACACTGTCTTTTTTATTGGTAATTCTTTTTCATCCAATTATACGGCATGAAGTGGTAACACAACACCTGCAGCTGGCTATTTGTTTTGATGCCTCAACTGTAGGGATGAGTTTTCCTTTGTATTTACCTCTTAGGAGAAGTTTAAGTATGTTTCATATTACATTTAGATCATGACATCATTATGACTTTGTACTTGAGATTAGATCATGACATCATTATGACTCTTCAGCTAAGGGGGTTTATTCTGAAAAATGTTTATCTGTTTTTTGTTATGCCAGATGGGTTTCAGTTTTGCTGGGAAAGCTGTTTACACTGCTGCGTGGGTTGCTGCTGCTTCATTGTTTATGGAGCTGTTGGGCTTCTCTACCCAAAAGTGGCTAACGGCTGGGGGTCTGGGGACAGTACTGCTAACTCTTGCTGGTCGTGAGGTGTGGTGCTCTCTTTGTGGAAATAGTTTGGCATACTAAATCGTTTTTACAGTGGGAAGATTATTCCTTTTTTGGATGGTGCAGATACTTACAAACTTTCTTTCAAGCATTATGATTCATGCTACACGGCCCTTTGTTCTGAATGAGTGGATCCAGACCAAGATAGGAGGCTATGAAGTTTCTGGCACAGTAGAGGTCTGTTAACTTGTCAATTTATTGTTATTGGATGTTTTTTTATTTTATTTGTGTTCACGTCACTAGCTTCAGACAGGAGTGTTCTTTTTGACATATGAACTGTGTTCCGTAAATGACTTCGTTTTTTTTTCAGCGTGTCGGTTGGTGGTCACCTACAATTATCAGAGGTGATGACCGTGAAGCAGTTCATATTCCTAACCACCAGTTTAGTGTGAATATTGTGAGAAATCTCACTCAGAAGACGCATTGGCGCATCAAAACACATCTTGCCATCAGTCATCTTGATGTCAGCAAAATTAATGTGAGCAATAATTGTCTAGTTTACACGTTCTTACATCCCTGCACTTTTAGTGTCTTCTGGCTTATTCAATGTGACAAGTTATTGTATTCCTTTTCAACTATACAGAATATCGTGGCTGATATGCGCAAGGTATTGTCTAAAAACCCTCAAATCGAGCAGCAAAAAATACACAGAAGAGTCTTTTTGGAGGATATAGATCCAGAGAACCAAGCCCTGAGGGTAAGAAGATGCCTTCTGTCAACAACTAATATGTCTGTTTCACGTTTACCAGATTTAATATATCTATATCTGATATATTCGCAGATCCTAATATCCTGTTTTGTAAAGACTTCACGTTTTGAAGAATACCTGTGCGTTAAGGTATGTTAAAGTTAACTGAATACACATTTTTCATCACGTGAGTGTATCTCTTTGGCTGCTAAGTTATATCATTCAAATTGTGTGTATTTCATCATACCACACATGACATACAACACTATGAGTAGTCTGATCAACTCTTTTGACATGTCTCTTTTTTCATCACTTTCCCAAGACATCGTTTTGTGTGTGCTAATGCATGTGTACTTGAGTGCATCTCCGAGCATCTGTTCCTGTGTCACGTGTTTATGTGTCTGTATGTGTATGTCCGCATGTCATATGGTTATCTATCATGATGGAATCTTATATGAACCTTATATAATATGTCATAGACATTTGTATCTTTGAACAGGAAGCAGTGCTCTTGGATCTTCTTACTGTTATTAGGCATCACGGGGCACGTCTAGCAACTCCCATTAGAACAGTACAGAGGATGCGTAATGAGGCTGAGGTGGACAGTGCAGGATTTTCAGACATCATTTTCAATCAAGCAGCGATGAACCGTCGATTCATGCTGATTGAGCCTTCCTATAAAATCAACAGCGATGACAACTCAAAGTCTCCTTCACCCAGCCCAGGGCAAAAGAGTGAAGAAAGGGACCTTCAAGAAGAACCATCGGAAACCAAGGCCGAAACAGAAAACAACGGATCAGCGCCAGTGCCGATTTCAAATGCCAAAACAGAGAAACAGAAAACGGCTCTTGGTTCCAACTCCAGTACAGGCACTAAGGGTTCACCAACCTCAACATCCGACCAGCCAGTAGCACAAAAGTCAGAAGAAAAGAAGAAAGAGAGCGTGGGAGATTCAAATAAAGCAGAGAAGGATGAAGTTTCTGATGACGAAGGTACAACAGAGCAGACATTGAAATCAAAAGCAAGACAGGTGACTGAAAAGAGCAGTGGAGATTCGAAAGCTCGAGATGGTGGTGGGTCTGGTACCAGTTCATTTCTGGAGGAGAACCTTGTTCTGGGTGTTGCGTTGGATGGCTCAAAACGTACACTCCCGATTGATGAAGAACTCAAAGCATCCGGTGCAGTAATGGATTCTGAAGAACTTGGTATTGGATCAGAATGAGTAGACGGATAAGAGGTATAAAGAAATTTGTGTTCCAAGCAATTTAATGCATCTGTAGAAAGTAACAAACAGAAATGGAGAAATGAGCGCGACTCTGTTAATTTTTTTAATCGTAGAGGTTTGCGCCATTTCATCTCTGTAAATAATACTAGCGATTCAAAAACTAAAAAGTAGTTTGTCTCAAGTGACTAGTTTGAGGCTTTTCGTGTTTAGAAAATTCAGGAAGATCAAATTTGACTATTTGAAACTAAATAGTACAGTGCATACAAACTTTGAAGTTTCGACGAACTTACAAACTAAAACATGACATGTAGTTTGAATACCAAATCAAACACATTTGAAAAAATTGATAAAAGCTTCAACAATACGAAACCATGCTTGGCGCCAAGGTGAATCAAAGCAAAGAAACACAATAAATGTGATCCATGTTACACTGTAGGTGGCAGCAAGGCTCCAGTAGAAAATGTCCATATCGATTGTTGTTTCCTCGTCCTCGCTTTGAGCATCAGATTCAAGGAACCCGGTAGTGCTGTTATCATCACAACTTCTGTTTATAGCTGATCCACAGAGAAGAGTATTACCAATGTAGTTGGTTCCATCCAAAGTAGAGAATTTGCCTTGTGATGGAATGGAGCCTGATAGGTTGTTGTACGACACATTGAATACAACCATATAGTCTAACTTGGATAGATCTTGAGGTATCGGTCCGCGCAACAAGTTAAAAGAAAGATCAATGCTCTCAATATCTGTTAGATTGGAGAAGCTTCCAGGTATTAAACCTGATAAGGAATTGTGAGACAGATTCAGAGCACGCATTCTCTGAAGAACTCCGAGCTCTTTTGGTATTTCACCACTTAGTTCATTACTTGACAGATCAAGTCCAAACATAAAGTTGAAACTTTCTTGAGTGTAAGAATCATACCTACTCTTTGATGAAAATTCAACATTGAACATCAAAATGCCTGTGTAGTCTGAAGAATACTCACGTGGTAAAACCAATAACCTAGAATACACCGCCAATTCTTCATCGTCATTGATTTCGAATGGTAATTGGTCGCCATTAACTTCATAGTCTAACTTCCTTCCAAATGATACATTGTTGAGACATGATGGTATGGATCCCTTCAATCTGTTGTTGGCAAGATCCAAGATCCTAATGCTTCTTAGACCGCAAAGATCAGTAGGTATATAACCCGTTAATGTGTTACCTCTCAACAAAAGAGAGAGGATAAACTCGTTCTTGACAAAGTGCGGGATAGTCCCGGACAATTTGTTATTTCGCAGATCGAGTACCAAAACATCTTTTATCAATGTACTTGGAATCGTCCCACTGAACTCATTGTCATTGAGGTACAATAGACTCATATTCATACCATTGAAGTGCGAAGGTAAGTTCCCCGAAAACTTATTTCCAGAAAGGTCCAAAATTTTAAATGTAGGTATATTAAAAAGCGTGCTTGGCAAGGTACCTTCCAAAAGATTATTGGAGAGGAAAAGATAGGCGAAGAAAAAGCCGCCGAACCAACTTGGAATGACACCTTGTAGATAATTATTCGACAAGTCGAGCACTCCTAGAGATTGCAAGTTAAGCAATCCATCTGCGATCCCAGTAAATAGATTGTTATTCGCGATCAACACGACCAAACTCCCAAAGTTTGTTGGTTTTGGGAAAATTTGGCCAAAGAATTTGTTGTATGAAAGCTTCAAAGTATGCAATGAATAACAACCAATAAGAAATTCCATTGGTAGACTGCCAGAGATATTATTATGAGATAAGTCCAAGAACTTAATATCATTCATCTCACCAAATGACGATGGCAATTTCCATTGAAACCCGTTATTCGAAAGATTCAAGTGCTTTAGATTTGGAAGAACCTTTCCAATATTCTCTGGAAGCCGTTGATCAAAACTATTGGCTGATAAATCCAAAATCTGCAAACTGTGATTAAGTAATCTTGGCAACTCAAGAATGGTTAAAGAGTTGTTCTGCAAAAGCAAAACCCGAAGATTTGGATATTTCTCCAAAAGCCAAAAGGGAAATGCTCCAGTCAACTTGTTGATGGAGAGGTTAATCACACGCAAATCCTTCTGGTGTTGAATAAAGCTTGGAACATTTTCCAAGTTACAATTCTGTAGCTCGATGACACTTAGCTGAAACTTTGGCTTTAAGGAGGTCAACTTTTGTAGATGAAGCAAATTAGATCTTGATGAAAGTTTGAATACCTTGAGCTTCAAGAGATTGGCGATTAACTCGAAAGAAAAGAAACCCTCAAACTCATTATCTGAGAGAGCTAAATACTCAATAGAATCAAGATTTCTGATAAGAGATGGAACTGTCCCATTGAATTGGTTTGAAGAGATATCAAGAACTTGGAGTTGAGTCAAGCTATTAAAACACTGAGGAAATTGACCTGTAAATTTGTTTTGACTTAGATCAAGCTCGCGTAAATTTTTCAGTTGACAAAATCCTGCAAAAGTCACATGTAAATGCATAAGAAGATGATACACAACTTATCACAGAAAAAAAAAAAAGTTCTAACGTACCTTTGTTATCCAGTGAGCCAGAAAATTTGTTATCACTCAAGTCCAAACCTTGAAGGTTATGAAAATTTGCCAAATCTGTGGTAATAAGGCAAAGAGATATGAAAAGAGAAAATTTTAACATAGATCTATATTTTCGATCTATAAAGAGAATGACAGGTAACGAAAAAATTTGCATTCTAAAAAAAATAGAGAAAATTTTACCTGGAACTGGTCCAACAAATTCGTTTTTACTTAGATCTAGTAGTTCTAGATTACTCAAGTTTTTAAGTTCTGCAAAAATATAGGTTCCTCAAGTTTAAAACAAGAATAGTAACAAGTACTTAACTACTAGACCTTAATATTTCAACTCAACAAAAACATGAAAGTGGACGTACCTTTTATTGGAAAAGTACCTTCCATATTGTTTCCATGAAGAATTAACGTTTTAAGCGAAGAAGCCGAATTTAGAAATGGTAAGACAGTATTATTGACGTCGTTTTCCCTAAGGTCAAGGATCTCAAGATTTTTCAATCCCTCAAAGCTTTTATAACCTGCAAGTATAAAAAGAAATGATGTTGACATGAGAATGACTATGGCTTAGCTTGATTATGTGTTTAATAACTTGTGTATAAAAAATAGACTACAATTATGATTAGAAAGGGAAGTAAATGATAATTTATATGTACCATGTATATGATCGAACCAGCCTTGACACCAGAAATTACTTAAATTTAGAGTTTGTAATTCTTCAAAGGGATAGAACAAGGAAAGATTTAGTAGGGGAGGAGGATAGTATGTATCAATCAAGAAGAGACCAATCACACGCCCGCTAGTAAGATCACACTTGACTCTTTCCCATTTGCAACAGTCGCTGTTCGTGTCATTAGGCCAATCATACGGATACTCGGATATGTTGAGATAGGCCTTGAGCTCTAGCAATCCTTTCCTTTCGCTTTCGATGCAACTTCTATGTCCATGCGCATCCAGTGATGATACCATCATCATTATCATCGTAACCATCACCATTAGGTCCATTACCATAACATATGCTGGAGAGAACATCATCAACATTGAGAATTTTCTAATTTGACATTACAGACTCTTCCTGACTTTTTTTTGTTAAATAAAAGAACTATTCTCAAGATTCAGATTTATCTCACGCTGGCAAAGAATTATGATGGCATAATGAGTGGAGACTTTGGCGGAAGATTTTGACTTTACTGAAGAATCTTGGCAGAAGACTTTGACCACACTTTTATTTTAAAGAGACTTAAGTCAACTCTATACCCAAACTCAAAGGGATCAAGGAATCTTTGTTTTCTTTTGCCAGCAAAAAGAGTTCATCCATTTAAACTAAAGGCGAACAGTTTTCTTTAGGAAAAAATCAGTCCGGAGCTGCAGAGTTTACATGGGAAAAGATAGAACCACATGATCGAGGAATCAAGGAATCTTTGGCATAGAGGTTTGCGCCTTTTCATCTATTATGTAGTTTGGCTAAGTTTCAAGTGTTTTTTTTCTTCCAAATAATATATTACCAAAAAAGGCTATTCAAATCCAGCGAGAACATTTTCAGAAATATATACAAAATAGTGCACAACAAACTTTGAAGATTTTAAAAAATGAAGAAAGACTACAAAGTTTAAATACCAATCAAACAAATGTTTTACATACCATTGAAAACACCAAATCAAACACATTTGAGAAAACTGACAAAAGCATTAACAAGGCGAAACCATTCTTGGCGCCAAGGTGAATCAAAGCAAAGAAACACAATAAATGCCATCCATGTTATACCGTATGTGGCGATAAGGCTCCAATAAAATGTCTCCATATCGACTACTGTTTCGTCATCTCCGCTATGAGAATCTGTTTCCTTGAAACCAGTAGTGTTGTTATCATCACAACTTTTATTTATAGCTGTCCCACAAAGAAAAGGATTACCAATATAATTTGTTTCACTCAAGCTAAAAAATTTGCCTTGAGTTGGTATAGAGCCCGACAAGTTGTTGTATGACACATTAAACACAACTAAGTAGTCTAACTTGGTTAGATCGTGAGGTATTGGTCCGTGCAACACGTTAAACGAAAGATCAATGCTCTCTATATCTGTTAGATTAGAGAAGCTTTCAGGTACTAAACCTGACAAGGAATTGTGAGACAAATTCAAAGCACGTATTCTCTGAAAATCTCCTAGCTCTCTCGGGATTTCACCAATAAGTTCATTACTTGAAAAATCCAATCCAAACATGAATTTGAAACTTTCTCCCATGTAAGAATCATATCTTCTCTTCGATGTAAATTCGACCGTGAAGTCCAAATAGCCTGAGTAATCTAGCTCAAACTCAAGTGGTAAAACCAAGGACCTAGAATATGCCTCCTCTAATTCTTGATCTGCTCTAACAATGGCATATGATGATCCATATTCAGGATCTATCTCATAGTCTAAGCTCCGCCCAAATGATACATTGTTTAGGCATGAAGGTATCAACCCATTCAATCTGTTATTGGCAAGA